TTAAAAACCTGGGGGGGAAAAAATGAAAAGCCATAGGATTCTTCATTTCTATGACATTCTTCTTAATTTCTGGAAGATCCACTGAAAAATACCACATAACTGAGTTATTTAGGCATTCCTTTTAGCTCATAACTTCAATGATTTTGATTTCAGATTCCCGTTTGGTGTTTAAAAAACAAAACAGAGCTAGGGTTTAGCTCAGTGGTAGAGGGCTTGCCTAGAACATGTGAGGGCCTAGGTACCTCCAAAGGGAAAGAAAAGAGAACAAAGCAGAATTGCTCTATCAGCATGTACACACACACACCATACACCACACACACACACCACTGCCAGCCAATGTTAGCTCACTACTCACTATGTCTCCAACATATTGGGAGTTAAACCCTATACTACATATAAAAGTAAAAGCCAACAAACAGGGTGGAGGCAGGCTGGTTGAGGGCCCTTGGAACACCAGACGAAAGGGCCCCAAAGAGAAGCATAACACTCTCAGAACCACAGGTCTCTTACTCAAGGCAACAGGGCTGTTGGAGCCCTAGGATAATTGTTTTCTTTCTGCCTTTTTTGTTATTCTCGTTTTTGGAAGTACCACAGTTTCAGCTAACCCTGGGTCAATTTAAACAGTATTTGATTGAGAGCTTATCTTTTCAGGAAGAACATCTATCAAAATAATGATGCTACAATGAGAAGACACACTGCACTCTACTTGATGGTGGTATGACCTAACTCTCCTCGCTCTTAATAATTTCTTCCTTCTTCAGCTGAGATGCCATGAGCCATCACTGCTTGAGCAACACTTCTATCTAGCTGTGGCCGCTTTCCCAGTCAACGAGTTTGCGCATGTCCCCAGTGTTGATGCCTACAGTTGGAAATGCATAATACCTGGTTGAAGGGGGCGCGGGGTCCATCGCCCAGTAGAGGCGTCTTCTGCTGCTGGAAAGGCATTGGCCCCTGAGGTGGATGTGGCCCTCTTGCTGGATTCTGCTGTCCCTGAGGTCCAGGGGGCCCTTGCATGCCACCCTGAGGTGGAGGTCCCATAGAGCCCTGGGGCGGGCCCTGCTGTCCTTGAGAGCCAGGAGGCCCTCTCAGCTCCTGAGGAGGGCCTAGCATGGACCCCTGTGGCGGTGGGCCCTGCAGGCCCCTCATCTCCTGAGGACCTCTCATCTCCTGAGGGCCATGTCCCAGCAGTCCACCTGGAGGGTGCGGTCCTCTCATCTCTTGAGGGGGGTGGCCCATCATCATACCTTGAGGAGCAGGGCCTTGATTTTCCCGGGGCCCCGGGGGCCCCTGCATTCCTCTTGGATTCAAACCCATCAGAGGCCCCTGAGACACCGGACCTTGGATCCCTTGAGATCCCGGGCCACCTTGGATCCCATGAGGGTGAGGAGGTCCCTGCATTCCTCTGGGACCAGGCGGTCCTTGCATTCCTTGAGTACCAGGAGGCCCCTGTGGGCCCATGTGGCCTTGGGGACCAGGTGGGCCTTGGGGGCCCATGTGCCCCTGAGGACCCACAGGGCCTTGAGGACCAGCACCGCCCTGTGGTCCAGGCGGCCCTTGAGGTCCCATAGGGCCATGAGGTCCTGGATGCCTCTGCATCCCTTGGGGTCCATGCATATCCTGAGGCCGGGGCAGGCCCTGGGGTGGGCCCTGAGGCCCCTGTGGTCCCATGAATCCTTGAGGCCCCCCACCTCCCTGGTGCAGTGGAGGACCCTGTGGTCCCATTTGTCCCTGGGGCCCAGAGGGTCTAAACTGTCCCTGAGGGCCCGGAGGGCCCATCTGTGCCATGTTCATTGGTATCTGCTGAGATGGGTGGGGCTGTTGGAAACCTTGAGGAATCTGAGACATTGGCCCTTGTCCTGGAAAGGGCTGAGGTCCCAGGAGAGGGGTGCCAGACGAGGGAGGTGGTTGAATCTGCTCAGCCTGTTTCTGTGCAAGTCTTTCAATTTTAAGTTGCTGAAAAGAAAGAAAGAAAACAAAATGAGCATGGTAAAAAATCTAGAGCCCTTGAAGATGGCAGTAATGCTAATATTATTTTTTGTTATTCACTATTGTTTTGCTATATATGATACATATAAATATACTGGAGAGAGGGAAGGGAGTACCAGTACCTACACTTGAATTCTGAGCCTCAAGATCTTGCTTTCACTCACAGCTAGTGCTCTACTACTTGAGCCATACCTCAGCTTCTAGCACTTAACTGGAGATAAGAGTCTCTTAGATTTGTCTGTCCAAGCTGGCTCTGAACTGCAGTGCTCAGATCTCAGCATCTTAAGTAGCTAAGTTTATAGGCATGGGCCACTAGTGCCTGGCTATGTTTTTTAGTTTATTTTTGTAGTAATAAGGGTTGAACTCGGGGCCTAAGTGCTCTCCCACTTGTACTATGCTCCATGCCTTTGTCCATTCCTTTGCTTTTCACTTGTTTTTCAAATAGGTCTTTCACTGTTGCCTGGGCTGTCTTGACATGCTCCTCCTACTTCAGCCCTTCAAGCAGCTGGAACTGCAGGTGTGAAACACCCAACACAGCCCCTATGTGGTATGAAAGGAGATCAGATAAAATGAGCTTGTTGCCCAGGCTGGTCTTGAATTCTGGGCACAAGAAGTCACCCTGCTGCAGCTGCCACAGCAGGTGAGGCTACAGGCACACCAAAGCCACTCTTCTTGACTTTTTGTTTTCTACTAAAAATGCATACTTAGCCAAGCACTGGTGGCTCACACCTGTAATCCTAGCTACTCAGAAGGCTGAGATCTGAGGATCACGGTTCAAAGCCAGCCCAGGCAGGAAAGTCCATGGGACTGTTATCTCCAATAAACTATCAGAAAACTAGAAGTGGTGCTGTAGCTCAAGTGGTAGAGCACTTGCTTTGAGCTGAAGAGCTGAGGGAAAGCGCCCAGGCCCAGAGTTCAAGCCCCATGACCGACAAAAAAAAAAAAAAAAGCATACTTAGTTACGTCTGCTTACTGCTCCAAGGATGTGGTTTTAAAATTCTAAAAATAGGTTATTTTAGAAACTAACTTCCTTATATAGCATGAAATGGTGGTGCTCATCAGAACTACCCACAGGTCTCTTTCTTTTTCCCTAAGAGCATTAAAAAAAAAAAAAAAGGCTGTTAGTGCTACTTAGATTACCTCACACACAGCATGAAAACTATGATAGGCTGAGACCCATTCGACAATGTCATCTGCTCAGTCTAATCTACAGAGCTGTCTTCACTTCTCATTCTTTGTAACACACCTCCAAAAGCTGTGGATTGGTGTACTGCAATGTAGCCATTTCTTGCTCAATCTCTGCTTGTGTTTTCTTCTTCTCTTCTAATTTAATGTCCTCTTTCCTGTCATTCATAACCTCATTTGGAGCAGGAATTGGAACTTTATTTTGCATCCAAGCCTGGAAAAAGAAGATAAAATTAAAATACACTCTAAGCATGAAAACTGTAACAATCAGTTATTTAAAAAAAAAAAAAAAGACCATTCTACAATATCATCTGCTCAGTCCAACCTGCCTAATGTTCCCCAGAAGCTCATGTGTTAAAGCATGATCTCTGGCTGACAGCACCATTGGAAGGCGGTGGAAACATCAGGAGGCAAGGCCTTCTGGGAGTGAGTAGGTCATAGGGGACATTGATGTGAAGTGAACCTGGTTGTGCTGCTCTCTCTGCTTCCTAGCTGCCATAAAGTCAGCAACTTTATTCCCTGCCAGGATGTTTTGCCTTGCCAAAGTACCAAATCAGTAATGTGAGCAACAAACCTTTCCTTCTTTTCATGTGATTATTTCAGGTATTTTGGCACAATGTAAGAAGGCAGACTAACACTGTAACATATTACATATTATTAAGAAGGCAAAGCTTCTGGTCCGATTCAAAAGGGCATCTTAGCTAGGCACCAGAAGCTTGAACCTATAATGCTAGCTACTCAGGAGGCTAAGACAGAGGATCACAATTCAAAGCAAACCTAAGTAGGAAAGTTCATAAGATTCTTATCTCCAATTAACCATCAAAAAGACAGAAAGGTTCAAGTGGTAGAATGCAAGCCTTAAGCAAAAAATGCTCAAGCCCTCAATTCAAGCCTAGGACTGCCAAAAGGCATCTTGTATTGAGAAGATAAGTAAAGCAAAAGTCAGATAAGCAATGGAAAAGACAGTCTCCTCTGTTCCATAACTCTCTCCTCCCCTGACAACTTAGATGACCTTACGCAAATGAAGATAAAAATAAAATAAAATATACAGAAAATTCAGGGCAAGCTCAATATAAAAGCAAGGCAAGCCAGGCGCCAGTGGCTCATGCCTGTAATTCTAGCTACTCAGGAGGCTGAAATCTGAGGATCACGGTTCAAAGCCAGCCCAGGCAGGAATGTCCATGAGACTCTTATCTCCAATTAAACACCAGAAAACCGAAGTGGCACTATGGCTCAAGTGGTAGAGCACTAGCCTTGAGCTGAAGAGCTGAGGGAGAGCACCCAGTCCCCACGACAAAAAATGAAAATAAAAAATAAATTTAAAAAAACAATAAAAGCAAGGCAGCAGATGGAAACTATACCAAAGAGCATATGAATATGGAAAGAGGCTTCAAAAGAATCTATAGTACAGAAAAGGTGTCAACAGATGGGATAATCCAAGAGACATCTACTTCTGAATGTAAGGAAACGCCCATCTTGCAGGCCTAATCTCTACTCTCCAAGGCAGCACCTGTGCAGTAGGATAGGCACCTCCCACTTCTGGACTCCAACATAAAAGGGGCCTCCAAAAAGCCAGACGGCACCATTTTCTCCCTTTCTCTTGAGAACTTGACCTTGTCAGGTCTGCTGGCAAAAAATCCTTCCTTCTACTTAACTTCTGTCCACGTGGTCTTCTGGGTTACTTTCTTTGGGTTACTTCCCACCCAGGTTTACATTTTCTCCTTCATTGAACAACTCCAGTCTCTCAGTACAAGGATGAAGTGAGGCTCACTTTTAGCTACTTACCTGCTGGAACTGAGCAGGAATAGGTTTTGCATAAGGGACTTTCTTCTGAGGTACTTTTTTCTGATCCTTTTGCATTACCTCCTCCATTCCCCAATCTAAACCAGGAATTGTCATTTCAATTTCATTTGATTCATCTTTCCCTGTAACCAGATAAAGAGCTCCTTAGTCTTGTAAAAGAAGTTGGCCACTAGATCAATGAACAGATTATTTAATATTATATACAGCTTATATCATTTCCATCAACACTGCTCAACATGTACTACATTAGCATTTTGACATGGTATACTAATAAATAATAAAAACTAATAAATTTGTCATGAAAATAAGAACAGACAGACAAAAATATTACAAAAATAGCCAGGTGCTCACACCTGTAATCCTAGCTACGCAAGAGGCTGAGATCTGAGGCTCATGATTCAAAGACACCCCAGGCAGGAAAGTCTATGAGATTCTTATCTCCAATTAACCACCAAAAAGCCAAAATGGATCTGTGGCTTAAGTGTTAGAGCTCTAACCTTGACCAAAAAAGCTCAGAGACAGTTCCCAGAACTTGTCTGTTCCCAGGACAGACAAACAAAAAATGATGGCTCTGTGCTAGTGGCTCATGCCTGTAATTGTAGCTACTCAGGAGACTGAAAGATCACAATTCAAAGCCAGCCCAGGCAGGAAAGTCCATGAGACTCTTATCTCCAATTAGTACCAGAAAGTGACAGTGTGGTTCACTTGCCTTGAGCTGAAGAACTCAGGTTCAACACCCAGGCCCAGAGTTCAAGCCCCACAACCAACAAAAACAAAACAAAAACTCACGCCTGTAAATTCTAGCTACTGAGCAAGCTGAAATCTGAGAATCATGGTTCAAAGCCAGCCAGAGCAGGAAAGTCCCTGAGACTCTTAGTTCCAATTAACCACCAGAAAACCAGTAGTGGTACTATGGCTGAAGGAGGTACAGTGCTAGCCTTGGGCAAAAAAGCTCAAGAAAAATTTCATTTACATGAAAGGAAAAGAAAATTTAATGCATATATGTGACTTCTCTTACCCAGCTGCTCTTGTTCCATGGCTAATTTTAGTTGTTCTGGAATTCCCATTCCTGGAATTACTGCCAGACTATTAGGCTCAAGGTCATCTACAAGTAAAAATATATTCATTGTCAATAATGAGAATGGTGTTATTGATATGATGTAGTAATGGAAAAACTAACACTTAACAAAGTTGAATAATATGGGGCTAGGAAGGTAGCTCAGTGGTAGAGTGCTTGCATGAGGCTCTGGGTTTGATTCCTCATCACCACATAAGGAGAAAAAGCCAAAAGTGGTGCTGTGGCTCAAGTGTTAGAGCACTAGCCATGAGCTGAAGAGCTGAGGGACAGCGCCCAGGTCCAGAGTTCAGGCCCCACACCAGCAGAAAAAAGAAAAAAAAAATTGAATGATATCACTGGTGATTTATATATCAATAAATTACAAAATTAACATCAGTGTCTCTTCCTCTTTCTCTTCCTTCCCCTCCTCTTCCTTCTTTTTCTTCTTCTGGTATTAAGAATTGAGTCTAGGCCTTAAGCATGCAAGGGAAGCACTATAATTATGAAGTCCATTCTTAGTCCAAAATTTTATACAACCTTACAAATAATTAATGCTCTTGGAGTAGAAGATCAGATTTCAAAGAAGGATAAATATACAAGCCTCACCATATTCTACTCCATCTTCAGACATTCCAGGTAATAGGTTTAGATTATATCGATCTCGCATTTTATCACCTGGTCGGTTTCGAGTCCAGAATTTGCTGTTAAATAAAAGTAATGGAGGTGAAGAGGGTGTTTTTAGTATTCTTCTGGGCACGTAATAGAATTAACCAGTCCATGAATAAACACATCAAAGTTTTCCAGTGCTTTTCTTCCAAATATTTCAAATGTATTCATGGATTTTTTTAATCAGAGACAGAATGAAATTCAAATAGCCATGGTCAATAATCAATGGCTTTATTACAATGTAGCATTTTCTACTAAACAAATCCTTTTAAAAGTAAATGGTAAAGCTGGGAACCAGTGGCTCATACCTGTAATCCTAGCTAGTCAGGAGGCTGATATCAGAGAATTGTGGTTCAAAGCCAGCCCTGGAAAATTTGTGAGATTCTTATCTCCAATTAATTACCAAAAAGCCAGAATCAGAGTTGTGCCTCAAGTGGTAGAGTACTAGTCTTGAACAAGTAAAGGTCAGGAACAGCGCCTAGGCCCTGAGTTCCAGCCCCAGAGCAAGCGCGTGTACGCGCGTGTACACACACACACACAGGTGGGAATATAAACCCAGCATATTGTATCAGTAAATTAAAGGTATTTATGTGTGTGTGTGCGCATGCGCACATACATGTACATGGAGCAGTGGCTTGTTATTTTCAATAAAAGCAATTCCTTGTTATTTTCAATACAAAGTTTACCTGGTGTGGTCATTGGAGCCTGAGCAGAGGATATGTCCAAGGGGATGCCAGGCCAGACTCCATATCATCCCTTCATGGGCCATCTCCATCCCACCCACCTCCTTCTCCACCCTGCAAAGGCACCAATGAAAAAGTCTGTGATGAAAACAAACAGCAACAATAACAATAAAACATGTTCTTTAAGCCTCAGGACAATGCTATCAGCATCTATTACTTTAAATCAAGTCAATTCCACAGGTCCCAGGGTCCTGATTCATCTTCACAAACACATTCTTGCATTCACAGATGAAAGAATCAAGAAAAATGCTGCAAGAATTATTTCATCACTAAGCAGGAATGAATTAGATCACAATACATTATATGTACAGAAATTCCACAATGAAACCCCATTGTACTATTTTTGCTAATAAAGAATTGTTTCATTCCCCCATGGTATAACCCCTGTTTTCACTGTATTTGATTCCAGTGCCCTGCATCTTGTATATACACTTTTCTAATTTGGGGAGGGGAAGGGAAAAAACAAAATTCTTAAATAGGGGTACAGGTCTACCCATTTTAACAATGAGCTGTACAAGACACTATGTTGAAAATGAATTTTACAACTTGTTGTGGGGCGGGGGGAGGGAAGGGATGGTAGGGGTAAAAAAAAGGAGGAGGTTAACAATGCTCAATAGGAAACGTACTCATTACCTTACTCATATAACTGTAACCCCTCTGTACACTATTTTTACAATAAAAAGCATGGTTTTTTTTTTTACTCGTTTCACCATTAAGAAACTAGAAAAATCTATCTTATTCTCTCTTAAATTCAGGTGCTTTGTTTTCTATTCCAAGCTGGATATAAAGAATTGAAAACTGTAGGCAGTCTCTGCAAAAGGACCACTACCGCTCAGATAAAAACACAAGACATTATCTTATTTGTATACATTCATAGGCTGTCTTCATGAAATAGACTACTTCTTAAACTCACTGGCAATCACCAGAACATGCCCAAGTCACACTGCAGGACTAGTAGGAAAGGTCAGAACAGCTCAAGCATTTTTTTTTGGGGGGGGAGGGGGGGATGGGTTAGTTGTGGGGCTTGAACTCTGGGCCTGGGCACTGTCCCTCAGCTTTTCAGCTCAAGTCTAGTGCTCTACCACTAGAGCCACAGTGCCACTTCAGGTTTTCTGGTTAATTGAAGATAAAGTCTCTCTCAGACTTTCCTGCCTGGGCTAGCTTTGAACTGAAATCCTCAGATCTCAGCCTCCTAAGTAGCTAGGATTACAGGCGTGAGCTACCAGCACCTGGCTCAGATCAAGCATTTTTATCCAAACAGATAAAAGTTGTCCTATCTTTCTTCAAAAGTTTCCAGAAGGGATGCAGCTGCCACACTTGGGGAAAAATATGTGGGGATGCTTCCAGAGACCATGCCCTGCGGGGCAGGACTTTGAGCACTAACTACTGGCAGCTGGCTGCCTAAACAGTGCAGAGCAAAGATGAAACACCCCTGCTTAATGATGTGTGTCCACATACTTCTCCTTTACATCATAAAGGTTACATACCCAACATGCCAGAATAACAAAGAACCATCAGATCCTCCACTGGCAAAAAGTCCTTCGTGAACCGGATGCCAGGCTACCGCTAAAAAGAAAACAACAAAAAACATGTAGAAAAAGACAAATTAGTAGGACCTGAAAATAGAGGTAAAGTCAAAAAAATGAGAAGTACATCACAGCCACTGACCTGTGGCTTCTTTCTTATGACCTCGAAATACTTGGAGCTCTTCTTTCAGGTTTCGGATGTCAAAAAGTTTACAGAGATGGTCACGTGATGCTGTGAGCAGCCAATTACCATTGAGGTTTAATTTAACTTCCATTACTGTGTTTTTATGGGCATGACTGGAAGCAAAGCACCAAAAAAACTATCAGTTAGAATGTTATAAAACCATTAAATACAATGATAATTTTTATTGAAAAGCACATAGGTTAAGATAGCAAGAAGTGTGGCATAGAAGTAATAAAGACATATACATATATTACAGAACCATAATTAAAAGTACACTTGAGGGGTAGGAATGTGGCTCAGTGGTAGAGTACTTGCCCAGCATGCATAAAGCCCTGGGTCTGATTCCTCAGTACCACATAAACAGAAAAAGCCAGAAGGAGCACTGTGGTTCAAGTGGTAGAGTGCTAGCCTTGAGCAAAAGAAGCTCAGAGACAGTGCCCAGGTTGAGTTTAAGCCCCAGGACTGGGGGGTAAAAAAAAGTAAACAGCAAGGGCTGCAGGAACTGTTCAGTGAGAAAAGGTCCTACCTAGGGGCTGGGAATGAATGTGGCTCAGTGGTAGAATGTCTGCCTAGCATGCAAAAAGCCCTGAGTTTGATTCCTCCATACTACATAATGGAAAAAAGCCAGAAATGGGGACTGTGGCTCAAAAGGTAGAGTACTAGGCTTGAGCAAAAAAAAGCTCAGGCTGTGTCCAGACCCTGAGTTCAAGACCCATGACTGGTGAAAAAAGAAGAAGGAAGAAGAAAGAAGGAAGGGAGGGAGGGAGGGAGGGAAGGAGGGAAGGAGGGAAGGAAGGTCAGTTCTACCTAGCAAGCAGGGAGCCCTGAGTTCAGATCCTGATCAGAAAAGGGAAAGGACAGGGAAGGAAGGAAGGAAGGGAGGGAGGGAGGGAGGGAGGAAGGAAGGAAGGAAGGAAGGAAGGAAGAAAGGAAGGGACAAAAGAAGGGAGGGATCCAGGTCAGTGACAAAAAGTAACTTCTACCTAAGCATAGCTCTATCTGGCAAAATAGAAGCATACTTTGCCAGAAAAGTGTAGAAGCATAGAAAGTACTTGGAATGCATAAATTAGCATTCAATAAAGCCTATTTGTTAAGATTCTAAAAATCCACTGACATAGCTCTCATGAAGAAAAAGCTAGGTGCCAGTGGCCCACACACATAGTCCTAGCTACTCAGGAGGCTGACATCTAGTGAATGGTGGTTGAAGGCCAGCCCAGGCAGAAAATGTTCTAAAACAGTCAGCAAAAAGTTGAGCTGAGAAGGGCACTTTTGGCTCACACCTGTAATCCTAGATACTCAGTAGACTGAGATCTGAGGATTGTGGTTCAAAGCCTGCCAGGGCAGGAAAGTCCTTGAAATTCTCTTCTCCAATTAACCACCAGGAAACCAGAAGTGGTGCTGTGGCTAGAGCAAAAGAGCTCAGGGACAGTACCCAGGTCCTGAGTTTAAGCCCCATGATGGACCAAAATAGTGTAATAGTAGTAATAATAATAGCTGAGCTAGAGGCACAGCTTAAATGCCATGCCTGTGCCATGAGCAAGAAAGGCCCTGAATTCAAAGCAAGCAAAAAAAGGAGGAAGGGGGAGAAGGAGGGAGGGAGTAAGGAAGGGAGGCAGGCAGGAAGGCAGAGTGAAGGGAGGGAGGGAGGGAGGGAGGGAGGGAGGAAGGGAGGGAGGAAGGGAGGGAAGCAGGGAGGGAAGCAGGGAGGCAGGGAGGCAGGCAGGCAGGCAGGCAGGCAGGCAAGGCAGGCAGGCAGGCAGGCAGGCAGGCAGAGTGATACATGCCTATAATCTTAGCTTCTTAGGAGCATCACAGTCTGGGACCAGATGGAGCAAAAAGTTCACAAGACCCCCATCTCAACCAACAAGTGGGTGTCATCCCAGCTGTGCAAGAGCATAAAAAGGAGAATCAAGCTCCAGGCAGACCAGGCATAGATAAATTCAAGACCCTATTGGAAAAATAACTAAAGCAAAAAGGGCTTGGATGCATGCCTGAATGGTTCAACTCCTGGTTTAGCAAGCCAAGGCCTTGAGTTCAGATTGCCAAAATATAAAAATACATAAAGAGACAAAAGAAAGAATAAAAGTAGGTATTAGTTTAGGGACAGTTTGAGAGTTAATTTACATCATGCCCCAAAGCCTGTACAATGCACATCTCCAGGGAACATAACTCCTAAGGCACAGTGTGTGGTTGAGGTCACTGAAGTTATGCAATAAGGTAACCCTGCACCAACCAATCAAGGTATGGGAGGTTTACTTCCCAATTAGGACCAGAATACAGCAGCTTAAAATATGCCCCTCATGCCCCCTCCCAAAATGGGCATATTCACTGAATGCTTATAAATAATTCAAATAGAAAACTATACTATGCAGCTCTACCATGTCAGATCAAAAAAATGAGAAATGTCTAAAAATTGGGAGGAAAAAACACTATGTTTGTAATTACATGAAGTGGACAGAGAAGGCTGAGCTGTGACTAGGAAGAAGCACACACATGAACCATCTAAGAAGTGCCAAAAGGTGTTTGTTTGGATGAGGCCAGAACAGGAAGAACATGCCTGTTTCATCTTCTCGTTTGCCCAGAATAACCCCATTCAACGTAGGCTGAGGTGGAAAACCAAGCCTTACTCCATTAGGAATGTTGAGATAAAACATATTTAATGACTTAAGAAGACCACAGATTGAAGTCCATCTGTGGTCCACCCTACTTTTTAAGGAATATATGAGAACAGAGGCAGTTGAAAGTTAAAGAACACAGGCTGCTTTGCTTCCTTTGTCCAGGGACAAGGTAGGATTCCCGTCACTTACAGTGTTGCAAGACTCTGACCAGTCTTAGGATCCCAGAACTTGATTGGCTGTTGACTATCTTTACTTCCTGAAACAACTAACCCTTTGGTTGGATGCCAGTCTACACATTTCACATCAGCACCATGGCCTGTCAGAAACAAGTTAGGACAAAAACCTAATCAGTCATAGGCATTGAAGGCAGGATTCCATTCTAATTTAAACCAAAGCAGAGAAGTGTAATCAATGTTTTAATAGTGCTCTGTGGATTCAAACTTTCTAAAGGACTCTTTGGCCTCCATGACAAAGTCTTTGGACCCACAAGCTCCACTGTATGCCAGGACTGTCAGAAACCACCCCTTATCCCCTGGAACGAAGTACTTGCTGGAGGCCAGCCAAAGCTCTAAGTAAGCTGCAACCCTCAAGCCCTAACACGTCAAGTTTTGAAAGCTTCACATGCTAATCTCAACAATCTACATTATCAGACCGCACCCCCTCTCATTCACTTCACTTTTCCTGCTTTGAGGTCACTAGTCCTTACTGGTCAGGTTTGCATATCACAACTTTGTTGATGGAAAGACAAGAAAGTGTTTTAGATTTCTGCTCTTTTCTCTCAAGCGCAAAGGAGAAAAATAACCTGTGCCCGAGTCACACACAGGTTAACATATACTGTAAGTTACTAAAATCACAAATGTGAAATTCAGAATTAACAGAACTGAAACAAAATGGAAAAACTGGGTGCTAGTCAGACTATCAAGAATAAGTGCATGGAAAAGTAAGGAAAGAATAAAAACATTTCAAATAGCTGCCCTGCCTTGATCAATTCAAGCTCCAGGAAGGATTAGATGCCAGGGAAATAGGAAGGGACAGTCTCCAGTCATTGGAGATGATGTATATGTTAGAGCCTCATACAGGACTGGGCTACACAGAACTCACAGTGAGTAGCAATTACTGAGGGAGATGTCCACCACAAAAACAAATGACCCCAATGACTCCATAACCCTTTCTCCAGGCTTAATACTAGACGTACACAAGAGTTTATCTACAAGCATTTAAATTTCCTGCAGTATGATATGAATATACCATAGAATAACTGCCGCATGCTGTATGTACTCAAAAGAATGCAATTAATCATTATAACTGGCTCATCACAGGTGATCTGGTGGCAATCATGTTGTTAATATTTTGGTTTGTTTTGAAGTACCATCAGGTGTGCCTCACTGTGAAAGGCAAACATCAATCTCACAAGTGACGATGTACACATCTACATAGAGGGAGAGGAAAAGGTTCAGACACAAAGCTGCAAATGCAAATTATACTAAGCTGGAAGGTAGTGTTAAGGTAATTCTTTCATGTTTTTTGGTTCTTATGTCTTCTACCAATGAACATATTTTATAGCTGAGATCTCAGGACAGAAAAGAGAAAGGGAGATTTGCTATTACATTGTCTTTTACAAAAAGAGCCAAAATTGGAAGAGTTAAAATAAAATACACTTTCATCAGAGAAGCTCCTTCTTGTCTTAAGGAACTAAGTTACGAAAGATTGGGTTCTAAAAAGATGTGCATAGGAATTTAAAAAAACATGGTTCAAGGTGCATTGTAATCATAAATTGAATTGTGGAACTGAAATGACTTTGTACAACTATTTAGAGATAATATTAATGACCTAATTACAAAGAAAGGTACCTAATATATGCAAGAGCCTCATCTGAACACTGGTGACCTAAAAAGGGATGCTCAGACAAGCACACTCAAGAGCATAAGCATACACTTGAGCAAAACATGCACTTGTTCAAAAATGCATAAAATAATCCTGGAAAAATACAAAAGGGCTAGAGGGGTAGCTCAGTGGCAAAGCACTTGCATTTCCCACTTTTGTTTTGTTTGTAGGATGTTTTTGAGACAGGGCTATGTTGCCCAGACCAGTCCTCATGCCTTAGCCTCCTAATAAACAAGGCGACAAGCAGTGCAAACCACTCCACAGAACTTGGTTCATGCTACCAGGAGGTAAAAGCTACTGAATTCCACTGCACTAACAAAAAATAAATATCCTGGGCTGGGAAGGTGGCTCAGTGGTAGAGTGCTTGCCTTGCATGCATGAGGCCCTGGGTTCAATTCCTCAGCACCACATAAGCAAAAAGAGCCAGAAGTGGTACTGTGGCTCAAGTGGTAGAGTGCTAGCCTTGAGCTGAAGAGCTGAGGGACAGTGCCCAGGCCCAGAGTTCAGGCCACACAACCGGACCCCAAAAAAAAAAATCCTATGATAAAAGGGCACCCTCTCAAGACAATGCTGATACATTAAGATGAAGAGTAAGAACAAGTATTTAGCTGCCATTTCCTACATGGAGTTTCTCTATTAGGTTATCTTTCTTTTTTTTTTCTTCTTTTTTTTTTTTTTTTTGGCCAGTCCTAGAACTTGAAGTCTGAGCTGGGTGCTATTCCTAAGCTTTTGTGCTCAAGACAACTGCTCTATCACTTGAGCCACAGCTCTACTTCTGGCTTTCTGTGGTTAATTGGAAATCAGTCTCACAGACTTTCCAGCTTGGGCTGAATTCAAACCACAATCCTCATATCTCAGCCTCCTTAGTTGCTAGGATTACAGGCGTGAGCCACTGATGCCTGGGCTAACATAATTTAAGAGGACTTTTTTTTATTCAATTTTTTAATTCAATTTTTATAGCTGAAGTCCCAGCTATTCCAGAAGTTAAGGCAAAATCATTTGTGCCTAGGAATTCAAAGCCAGCCTGGACAATACATCAAGGTTGGTCAAAAAATAAAAATACAAAAAGGAAAAAGGGAAATAACTTTATATATGCAAACAATGGTATTGGAAACTTTAATCCTAACAGAAAAAAAAAAACAGAAAACAAATTATAAAGAGGAACTATAAAATTAGTCAAACACCCCTAAATGAACAACCATACTGTTATGAAAAGAAGGCCCTAGAAAGAAAAAGGCTCATGAAATAAGATATATTAAAACGCAAATGAAACACAAACTACATCTATTTTAAGGATGATTATTAAATGTACATGGTTACAAAAATGTTGATTCAGATAAGCAGAAAACAAAAATTATAGTGTGGAAAAAATCTTCTGTTCATGTTTCCTCTAAGGTGAAACTGCAGCTTTAAGAGTAAGTTAGATTGTGTACATGAATTCGTGATTGTGTTCTTTGTTGTTTGAAAGCAAAGCCTTGCCTAGCAAGCACTCTACCACTTGGGGCATGCCCTAACCCCTGGTATAGTTTTTAATACAGTCGTGCTGGCATACCTATAAGGCCAACACTTAAGAGGCTGAGACAGGATTGAAGGTTGAAAGTCCATCTAGGCTACTAAACAGAGACCCACCTTTAAAAACCTCATGTTAGTGGTTCGGAAGGGGGCTCTGTGGTAGAGTGCTTGCCTTGTATGCATGAGGTCCTGGGTTTGATTCCTCAGCACCACATAACCAGAAGAAGCTGGAAGTGGCACTGTAGCTCAAGTGGTAAGAGTGCTAGCCTGGAGCTAAGGCACAGCACCCAGGCCCAGAGTTCAGGCCTCACGACCAGAAAAACAAATTAAAAAACAAACAACAACAACAAAAAAAACCTCATGCTGGAAACTGGAAGAGAGCAAGGGAAGGGTGATACTTTCCAGAAAGAAGAGTATTCATTAACTGATTTATGTAACTGTAAACCTTCTGTTCTTCATCTTCATAAAATAAAAAAATTTTTAAGTAACCATGCCAGGCACTGGTGGCTCATAGCTGATATCTGAGGACTGCAGTTGGAAGCCAGCCAGCCAGTAAAGTCTTTGAGGCTCTTATCTCCAATTAATTAGTAAAAACCCAGAAGTGAAACTGTGGCTCTAATGGTGGAATAAAAAAGCTTTGAGCAAAAAAGCTCAGGGACAGCATCCAGGCCTTGAGTTAAATAGGAAGGAAAAAAAATACCAACATTGAACCTATGTTACCACTTTATACATATACTTGGTGCTGCTCCATTTAAGTAAGAGAAAATAATAGACACTTTCACTTCACTGCATCTTCATGGGGAGACTACATGGTCAAATCCATCAAAATCTTTTTCATTCCATGCTAGTACACTGAAATTAAGAACTCACACTCAAGGATGGTACTCTACCACACCTCCACTTGCAGATTTTGCTGGTTAGAGACAAGAATCATTTGGATTTATCTTCTGAGGCTAGCTTTGAACTAGGGTCTTCATACCTCAGCCTCTTGAATAACCAGTAGTAAGTAACTCACAGGCATCAGCCACCAGCCCTGGCTCTGTTCTTAAAGGCACACAACCTGTGATGCCCCAGTCAAAATTTATCCTCTAACTGCAAAACCATCCCAGATTTTATGTACAAAGATACTGTGTTTATAATATCAAGACTAGAGTATGAATACTACCAATACTAAATATGAATTGAGAGAATACTTAGGAAAACTAAGATAAATTCACATTAATTGAATATGAGCAGTTGTTAAAACTCAAGGCAGGATTCAGGGATGTTAGGAATTTGGTGTCTTGGTTATAGTAATTATATGTCAAAATAATAGGTCTAGACACCTAGAAAATTTTTTATCTTATATAATTTGGTTTTTTTTTGGTTCGGTCGTGGGGCCTGAACACTGGGCCTGGGTGCCGTTCCTCAGCTCTTCAGCTCAAGGCTAGCACTCTACCACTTGAGCCACAGCGCCACTTCCGGCTATTTTTTTCTGCTTATGTGGTGCTGAGGAATCGAACCCAGGGCCTCATGCATGCAAGGCAAGCGTTCTACCACTGAACCAAACTTCCCAGCTCATATCTTATATAAATTATAAGTGATAATGTTTTAGAGAAGAAAAACAAAATGGAGTTCAGAAGAAACAAATCTCCTGTACTATTGAAGTTGCCTCTCTTGCGTTTTGTAATATTTTATTTAGTGGTAACTGCCTTTGGTTCTCCTCTATTCAAATATTACAGGAATGATTGTCATTAGGTGTCAACGTCGCTTGCCAAAACAGGGCTCAGCATTGCCTGTGGTCCCAAGAAGATGATTCTCAGTGAAGAGGCAGAGTTTTCACCAACAGACCTCAGAGGCAGTATGGTTGAAAAAAGTCTCAGGAATACTTTTGAACTGGAAAGCCATATACAAAACATGATCTCATATAATTTAAAAGAA